TTGGTTCCTTGTCGCGCCATTCTAGATTCAGGATCCCAGCTGCATCTCGTTACCTCCAGGTTCGCCCAGCAGCTTCAGCTTAGGAGAACTCAATCGTCTGCCCTTGTTTCTGGTCTGAGCGATACTAGCGTGTCCACTGAGGGATCCACCGTCAGCATTTGCATACAGTCTCGCACTCCGGACTATTCGACGACACTCACTGCTCTCATCGCACCCACAATCACAGATAGCCAACCAAGTCTGACAGTTAATGTAGCCGATTGGAACATTCCCTCCAATATTCAGCTTGCCGATCCCGCATTCTTTAATCCTCAGCGAGTAGATCTCCTCATTGGCGCGAGCATATTCTATGACATTCTCTGCGTAGGACAAATCAAGCTCATAGATGGATTGCCTCTTCTGCAGACTTGGGTGGATCGTATCTGGTGGTGGACAGAGGGTATCAAGCTCGTCGCTTTTGGCAACCCAAAATTATCCGGATTCGGAGGATATAATGAATGCAAGGTTGGATCGAACTCTTCGTATGTTTTGGGAAGTTGAGAATTGTGTGGAGGCTAGCTTGAGTACAAAGGAAGAAGTGGATTGTGAGGCGCATTTCGTAAGCCACTTTTCACGGTTGCCATCAGGGGAGTACTCTGTTCGACTGCCTTTAAAGCATGATGCTGATCACTTGGGAGAGTCCTATACTCAGGCGTATTGACGATTTCTCAGCTTGGAGCGAAAACTGGATCGTAATCCCGCGCTCAAGGAGCGTTACTCAGCTTTTATGAAAGAGTATACTGATTTAAAGCATATGTCCAAAGTCCATCCTGACTCACGTAGCCTCTGCAAGTATTTTCTGCCTCATCACTGCGTTTTAAAGGAGGATAGTACCATGACAAAACTCCGTGTCGTTTTCGATGGCTCTGCAGCTACATCAACTGGATGCTCTTTAAATGATGTGATGATGACAGGTCCTGTTATTCAGCCTGCATTGTTTAACATACTGATCACTGATCCGGTTCCGGACATATCCCGTCGCTCTCACTGGTGACATTTGTAAAATGTACCGCTGCGTAAAGGTCTCCACCTGACAATTTTCTCCAGTGTATCCTATGGCGAGATTCCATCCAGTCCGAAGTTCAGGTCTACACATTAGACACCGTCACATACGGTACGAGGGCAGCATCGTTTTTAGCTGTCTGCGCAATGCACCAGTTGGCCATCGACGAGGGTAATCCCTACCCTCTTGGCTCAGCTGCTCTGCAACAGGAGTTCTATGTTAATGATCTCATCTCTGGCGGCAACTCGGTTTCAGAGGTCATGGAAAAGATGCGCCAAACTTCAAGTCTTGCGGTAACTTTAAGCTTAAAAAATAGTGCTCGAGTAACCAGGAGGTGGTTGATGGAACTCCAGAAGACGACGTGGAGAAATTTCTACGGTTTCATGATGGAAGCGACATTACCAAAACTCTCGGTTTAGCTTGGGACCCTGCGTCGGATCAGCTGCTGTTTGCCTTGTCCGCGCTGGACACGAATTCAAGGCCCTCCAAGCGGTCGGTTTTATCAACTATTGCGCGTTTCTATGACCCTCTTGGATTGATTAATCCTGTTATTGTCAGGTGCAAGATCTTTCTTCAGCAGCTTTGGAGAAAACATTTGGACTGGGATGAAAGCCTACCGACAGCGCTGCACTCAACTTGGATTGACCTGAGAAACAGTTTGGCAAGCATCTCTCGCATTTCCTTTCCTCGCGTTGTCCATCATTCCAGCACAATTGTAGAGGTTCATGGAATTTGTGATGCCAGCATGGAAGCATATGGTGCTTGCATATATATGTCGTGTCCAGGCAAGGGGAGTCGTCGAGCAATGTTTTGTGCTCAAAGTCTTGAATGGCGCGCCTAAAATCATTGTCGATTCCAAAGCTGGAATTGAGTGGAGCTCATTTGCTTGCGAAGGTTATGCGCAACTTAAAGGAGACGGGAATCTTCCCAGGTCAGTTTTACTGCTGGTCGGATTCGTCTACGGCGTTATCTTGGATTCGGGATGAGCCAGCCAAATTTCAGGTTTTCGTGGCAAATCGAGTGACAACAATTCAAGAGTTGACGCAAGGCATGGAATAGCGCTATGTTCCAACATCGTTGAATCCCGTGGCTTCCCAGCCACCTCATCCAGTCAGAGCTGTGGTTTCACGGCCCCTCGTTTTTGTTAGGTTCTAAGGATGAGTGGCCTGTATCTCCCGTTTCTGAAACTCCGACCATTGAGCTTCGCAAACGTATATTGCTGATCGCGTCTCCACATGCCGATCTCACGTCCGGATGCAAATTTGCAAACTCTTTCTTTGGCATGCAGCGCATATTCGCCTACATGCATAAATTCGTTCATCGTCTTAGGCATCCTGGACTCACGGTTTCAGACATTCAGCAAGGAACGCATCTTCTTGTTCGACACGTTCAGCTGGCAACTTTGTGGTCCGACATAAAGAAGATTAGACGCAATGGGCAAGTCAGGAAGTCTAGCTCCATCAGTTCGCTATCTGAGTTCATCTATCCGTCTGGTTGGAGGTCGTCTCGGCAACTCATCGCTCCCGTTTAATGCTCAGCACCCGCTTATTTTGCCCAAGGGACATCCCGTAACGTCTGCAATGCTAAGCTATTATCATCAACTGAACCTCCTTCCGGACCTCATGCCTTGATTGCTAAAATTTGATTAGAATATTGGCCTATTGGAGGAAGCAAAGCCGTCTCGAAAGCGGTTAGCAAGTGTGTGAGATGCTTCAGGACGAGGCCGCGCATGGTTGAGCACATTATGGGAGACTTTCCTAAGGAGCTTCTGGAAGGATCGCGTGCTTTTGTTGGCAGATGTTTTTATTCTAACCTAACCTCAAAATAGTTATCTTTGTTGCAATAGAAGTAGTGATATTGCGCGTGGTTGCTTTTATTTTGAATGTTATAGTGTGTGTTATTGTATGTATATTTAAACAGAGCTATCATTTCGAATTAATTTAATATATTCAGGCAGGGTCGATATTTGATCATGATCACTATCATTTGATATTTACCAGACGGTAAGCTACACCTAAAAAAAATAATTTTGCAATTTATATCTGTATTTAAATCGTTTTCAGAATGATTAAGTTTATTAAAAAAAAGTTGTAAGATATTTAAGTTATGTGAAAATTAAAGTTTATGAAAATTCTTGCCATAAAATTATCCTGTGGATACATTTTATTTGTAAAGTAACAATAATTCAAAATTTGAACTATTTTTACTTTAAAAAATTAAAAACTTTGATTTATTGCAATTTTTTAATGTTAAACACGGAGAAGGCGTGTTCGCATCGGTCAGAAAATGAATTCGAAACCAATATGCCAAGTTTCAACTTTCTAGCTTTACCATGTAGGTTAATGCCAAAAAAAAAAAAAAGGCTTTTCCGCCCACTGTGCAGTGGCTGATTGCAGTGTACCAGGGATTTGATTCTGAAATTTAGAGTTTAAGTCTTCCCATTTGTATTCTTAGCCGCCTAAGTTTCACGCTCGCAAAACCATTTGTTATTTTTGTGGTTGGCAATGATGTTCGGGAATACTTTGCTGATAGTCTAGTCGTAAGTCGTAGGTAATCTAGCTTCGTCGACAGGAACACGGCCATTACATCGTCTATCGAGTCTGTAATTGCTTGGAGAAATTTTCAGCAGATGGGTTGCTCAACAATACAACTGTCATGTTTGCTGCCAGTTGAAGTTTCTTCACATAGAACCACAGATTTGATGATTTGGAGCAAGCGTCTTAGTTTTCTTTTTGATTTATGTAACACTTTCCATACAAAAAATCAAGCACACGTTTGGTAGCCCTGGAAAGGCCTACTTCATACAAAAATACTAACGTTTACCGAGCGCAATTCTATTTATTTTGCTAGTCTGGACAGAGACAAACTAAAAAAAATCAAAAACCATGATAGTCAGTCCAGCCGTTCGCATTTTCCATAGTTTTTTCCAAGCTATTCTGTTGATGGAGACAAATTCAAAAAATAAAATACCATGAAAATCAGTCCAGCCGTTCTCGAGTTATAAGCGGTCTAATGGACATGATCTATCCAAAAAAAAATCAAAGTTCAACTTTGACTATTTATTGAAATCTAGAAATTGTATCACTATGGTCTCGTGCATACTGAGGGCCGTTTCTCGACTTCGGGTTAACATTTATCGGAACGTTAAAGTATCCGAACGCGAAAATTTGTTTTCTCAAGGACTCATGTGAGGGTTAACTTCCAACTGGCGGCCGGAACCTGGCTAACTTCCAATCGCCGATGGAAAGCAAAAAGCAAACCTGATATAAATATTCTATTGGACTGCGTTCCAAAATTTATCTATCGACATTTTCCAAAAATCACGTCGCGAACGAAAGTAAGTAACACTACTCGACAAAATCGAACTTTTTTTTCCTCAAGGATCCAAACCGACCTTTTCTGATATATATGGGACTTAAATTTTTTTTTATAGAATTATGGTTTTATTGTATGGCAGAACTTTTTTTTAAGAATTTTTGGGCTGGTATTTTTTTGTAAAGCTTTTTTCCGAGGTGGAGCTTCTTTTTTCACATAACTCTAGTATCTTACGTCTGGTTGTAAAGAACTTTGCTATTTTAAAAAGATAATTAAGACAGCTAGAAGTGGTGTATACTTACACCACGAAATTAATACTCTACGTTTGTTTCATTCTTTAATTTTTTATATTTTTCATGAAACCGTTTCTAAATAATAATGAAAATATTGGCAACAAATTCCCATCATTTCCAACGCCAGAGTTGTCATCGGTCGGATAACTTTGTGAGGCCTTCAAAACTGCAGGGTGCAGTTAAGTTAGTGAGATCTTATGATATGTATGTATGTACATATATAAAATTTACATTAAATTGAAAATTAATATTTTTAATTTAAGCGATGGCTTGGTTTATGCAGAGCTTATAGGCATCGGTTGATAGCTTAGCATGGCATAGAAAACGACAATTTATAGTTAAATACTTACCGTTGTATGACCGTTGGTTGTAAATTTATAGTGGTCAATATTAAAGGAATAAATTCGGAAACCTCTTGATGGACAGCATTCTTATATATTTGATACATCAATACTACAATAATTGGAAGCTCTTGTAAAACTTTTAGGGATAATATTCCTCGAGGAAGTAGGTTATACTGAAAAAATAATAATTAATATTAAAATTTGCACACATGTAAATTATGGTATAATGATAACGGAAACACCCAACCCTTTCCTCCCGCAAAAGGGACTAAAATCTGTGGCATCCACAATTCTGAAGATGCGAGAAAACGCAGTATCATAGAGAATGTTCATATCTACCAGATTGTCGAATCTGGTTCAGATCATTATTACAGCCAGAATAAATGAATTAATTTTCAGTGACTAGGATAGTCCCTTCCAACCCTGCAGCGCTTACTCTCTTATTCGCTCTCTCGCTCACACACTCTGCCTCGTTTAGTGTGCACCCTCTGGCAGAGGTGTAAGAAAAGAGATGTAGATATAGATATTTTTAATTCGACATAAATGATAAAATCACATATACAGGGGTGCCACAGAAATCACTAGTGAAATAGGAAACCGCGCAGAGGATTTCCGCTTCAAAATTTCCGCCGTGCCACAGAATTCCGAGCGATTTCGGCCTAAGGCCTCTCAAGATTCAATTGTTTTCACAATTTGCACAAAAAGTATGCACACTTTTGACGTAAAGGAAGTTTTGTTGCAATGAGTTTTTTTTTGTAATGCTTGATTAAAGAACAACAGAATGCTTTCAATATAATTAATATTAAATATCTTGCTCCGAATTCGTCTTAAAAAAGGTGGCATTACTGTATTAACTTCGAAAGTTCGAATCGCCCTTGGTGGCCACCTCAGACTGCAGCGTTAAGTGAAAATTCAGTCAGCGGATTGGATAGTGATTTACTAAATTGTTTATTTTATTAACTTAACATGTATAATGTTAAATTATTTGGATGAGGGTTATAAATAAGATTCGAATCGAATGGAATTGAGGTGATTTTACAGCGGAAGTGATTTCTGTGGCACCCCTGATACACATACTGAACTAGTACGGGTATAAAAGTTAAGTCGCGGCCACTGCAGGGACACACAACGAGCCCTCTCATTTTTAATTGATATGGAACTTGTTAACCAAGTTTCAGTGAGCAGTCGACAAGTCGCTGCACAATGCCTGACACCATGACCAAACATCTCACAGTTATAACGTTGGGTTAGTTTCTGGACCTTTCGATTATGATAGTCCCATTTTACTCAGAGCTCGAAAAATTGAGACACGGACGCAACACACACACATACATTCGCAAAAATCATGGAAAATCTTATTAATTGTTTTCATACTAATGCCCAAGGATTCCTCAATCTCACAGTATGTGACATGACGATCTTGCTCAATCATTTCGCTCACAGCATCGATATTTTGTGGCACAAAAAGTCATTTTAAGCTACCTTCACGAAATTCGTCCAGCAACAAAGGACTTTCACGGTTGAATTCGCGATACCAGTTGTTTACATTGGCAATGAATGGTGCTTCATCAATAAAAGTTGAACTAAGCTGATCTAAGCATTCATGGCTTATAAATGCATCTCAAATATGGTGGAAAATCATGACAAAGACATTTTCATGTCTAAATGTAAATTTTTTGCCTGAGAAGAATTTTTGATTTATCGTTAATCGATATAAAACGTGGTCGTACATGAAAAAGTTATGGGTATGTTTAATTCATAAAACTCCAAACTTTTGTATGCAACTGATCACTATTTGGTCCTAGTACGACTGAAAGTGACCTAGGCCAGAAACATAAATAGGGCAGTGCGTGAAAGATTGGCGCTCGAGCAAAGCGAGTGCGCAGGGGTCTTGACTACTAGTTTAAATATAAAATAGCTTCTTCAATTCGCAAAAATTCGACCCCTACCATAGTTTCAGTAATTAGATTTCAGTCAGATCATGACATTTAATCAAATCGTCTGCTGTATGTATATACATACATTAAGTTTACAATCTATTGCTAAATTTTTAAAAAAATAAATTCGTCGTTTTCTTTTCCAAATATGTTTCAGTAACTTAGAAATTAGTGCATATTGATAACAGTAGTCAACACGACATTTACGCTGTGGCCCAAAATGACTTTTTCTTATAGTTTTTAGGGATAAAAAGATTAAGAATTTTTTAAAATCTGGTATTTTTTAATGTTTTTTTTTTTCAGAGGTAGCGCTTTTAATTTTCACATATCTTAAGTATCTTATATCTGGTTGCAAAGAACTTTGCAGTTCTGAAAAGCTGACAAATGCAGCTAGAAATATGATTCAGACACTGTATCTGCAGCTTAACGCCTGGAAAATACTAAGCTTTCATCATTTCTTTGCGGTATTTTTTGACTTTAAAAACTCGGGCATGCATTTTTAGTTTTAGATAGACGCATTAATTAGGCTTCGTTTAAGATATTGCTCACTAAAATCTATGGATAAACGGTGGAGCTAAAATTCGTTAACCAAACCTCAAAAATTAAAAAAATAGACAAAAAATACTTTTTGGAAGGTTGCGGGCACAACTGCCAATTGGAAACAAAGCAAGCGAAAAGGGGTTTGGTACCTGAACGTGTTCCTTTGGCATTGGACCAGCAACGGTATTTTTCAGGTAAAATTAGCTTTGAGTCGTTTTGATCAAACGGCTGCAAGTTGACCGTTTATCTATAGATTTTGATGAACAATACCTTAAACTACGCTTAATTAATACGTCTATCTAAAACAAAAAATGTTGGCCAAGAATTATTTTTTATTTCGACTTTTCCCGAGTTTTTAAAGTTTAAATTTCGAAAAAAAAAAAAAAAAAAAAATACCGCAAAAATTATGAAAGTTGAAAGCTCAATATCTTTCAGTCGTTAAGCTGCAGATACAAAGGGCTACCAGATATAAGATACTTAAGTTATGTGAAAAAAAATCCTCCAGCTGAACCCTCCCAGAGGGTGCCGGCCGGGCAATGGGCACTGCATTACCCCGGATCGGGTTAATGCATTGCCGTTTGCTCTGTCCGCGGTAATGCAGTGTCTAGCTAAGGCCGGGTCAAGGTCTTCCCGATATAAAATTGGGGGAACTGAACCATGGCCATGGCTGGAGGTGCCTGGCGGACAGGCATAAAACGCTAGGGGGTGGTCCCCCCGATAAATATTAACCACATGGACCGGAGTAAGGATCAAGCAGGGACTGGGATGTCAGTCCAAACGTCGGTGGAAAGCGTGACTGCTACCACCGGCGGGCACGGGGAGGAGCCATCCTTTTTGCGTGTCGCCAGCGGTCACAACTATAATATGGCGGATGAAGGCTAAGGCCCAATACAAGGCGGCCCTCAAAATCCAAAGACGGCTACAAGGCAAAGAGGACATCTCCAAAGAGGAGAAGTCCAAACTAGCATGGGCTATGCAAAAGGTAGAAGAAAGGCGTCTTCACTACGCGCAGCTGCCTCAGATGAAGGCGACGAAGGGCGAATTCGCCAATAAGGTTGAGGTGATGATGGCCACCAAAAGGCAACGCTCGATCGAGAGTGCCAAGGACACTCCGGCGAGCAAGCGGCAACGCGGGCCCAAGGTGGTTATCGCTCAACCTACGACGAAGAAGCCCAAGCAGAAGGCCAAATTGAGTGACATGTCCAAGAGACACCTCATCGTGGCCCTGATCGACCGCAGCGAGGAAAATGGGAAGATGATGGCGGCGCAGTGGAAACAGGTCCACGCCCAGCTGGTGGAATCCCTTTTCGCGCGAATGGAGGACGCGCCGGACGCTCCCATGCCCACCTTCGACGGTGCGGGATGGCTGAACGGGGTGAAGATCCTCAAGTGCAACGACGACCCGACGAGGAAGTCGCTGGTGCAAACGGCGCACAAATTGGAAGCTCTGTGGGAGGGGGCCAAGCTGGAGGTAGTGGACAGGGAGATGATCCCGTCAATCCCAAAGGCGAAGGTGCTCTTCCCCATTGCAGTCCAGGGGGACCGAGCACTGAAACTCCTCCAGAGGCAGAACACGGATGTGCCAACGGCTGACTGGAAAATCCTGCATGCTGGTAGCCCGTTACCCAATGAGGGGGGCCAGCACATGATCATCCAGATCAACAAGAAGGCAGAGGACATCCTCTACCCGAGATTCGGGAAGATGGCATGGGGCGTAGGCAGTGTCTACCTACGTCTCAAAAAGCGCCACCCCGAGGACAAGGACGCGCATACCCTGCAGGTAGTCGAGGTGGAAAAGGACTTAGGTCTGGAGTCCATCGTAGAGGCCGCCCAGGATCTTGCGCTGGACGACTCTGATGCCGCAGAGGATGAGGACGGTGACCTGACTATAATAGTCAACCCGTCGAGTGCAGTTGAGCCAGCCTCCCACATTGAGAGTGCTGCAGCTCAACTTGCATAAAAGCAAGCTCGCGTCGGCGGAGCTCCTCATTGCCTTGGAGCAAGGGCCCGTCGACATTGCTTTGGTCCAGGAGCCATGGCTTGCCTCCGGCAATGCTGTGGCCGGACTAAAGTCCTCAAATTACAATCTCTTCTACCCACCATCGGTAAGCAGGACTAGAACCGCCGTACTTGTACGAAAGGGCATCCATGCTTATCTTATGTCTCATTACAGCACTGAAGACCTGGCTGCGGTGATGCTTGAAAGCGAGGACAAGCGCCTTATGGTAGCATCCTGCTACATGGCACACGACAGGCCAGCTCCACCGGAAGAGCTAAGGAGTCTGGTGGCGGAAGCCAGTCCGAAAGACCAGCAACTCATAGTTGGTACGGACGCCAATGCCCACCATAGCGTGTGGGGAAGCCCCGATATCAACGAAAGAGGTGAGTCACTTCTAGACTTTATACTATCCACTAACCTAGATGTAGCAAACGTGGGGGAGGAGCACACCTTCGTAGGCCCCACCTCGTCCAACGTACTAGATCTAACACTCGTAATGGGGAACTGTACTTTGGTATCTGGCTGGAGAGTCCTTGAAAGACCATCCTTCTCAGACCACAAGTACATTCAGTTTAAGTGCGAATTTAAACACTCTCCGAAGATAACTGTCTATAGAAACCCCCGGAACACAAACTGGGAAAAGTTTAAAAAGACAGTTACCTCGAAGCTCGCGAATCGTGCGGGCACAGTGACATCC